ATTTCCAGTATACTTGTATGCTTGTATACTTTCTTGTGTACTTACATACTCGTATACTTATACTCTATACTTGTATACTTATACTCTCTTGTATACTTTCTATACATATATACTTTTTTGTATACTTTCTATACATATATACTTTCTTGAATACTTTTGTATGCTTGTATACTTTCTATACATATATACTTTCCTGAATACTTTTGTATGCTTGTATACTTTCTATACATATATACTTTCTAGTATACTTGTATACTTTCTATAGATATATACTTTCTTGTGTACTTATATACTCGTATACTTATACTCTCTTGTATACTTTCTACACATATATACTTTCTTGTATACTTTTGTATGCTTGTATACTTTCTATACATATATACTTTCTTGAATACTTTTGTATGCTTGTATATTTTCTATACATATATAATTTCTAGTATACTTGTATGCTGGTATACTTTCTATAGATATATACTTTCTTGTGTACTCATATACTCGTATACTTATACTCTATATTTGTATACTTATACTCTATATTCGTATACTTATACTTATACTCTATATTCGTATACTTATACTCTATACTTATATACTATACTTGTATACTTATACTCTCTTGTATACTTTCTATACATATATACTTGCTTGTATACTTTCTATACATATATGCATGTGTGATATATACGTGCAGCAGTTATAGTAGCATTCGTTTATAGATTTACACGTATTACATACATTCTTTTCTTTCTTTTTCTAAGGATTGGGAAATGTTGCGATGTTCAAAGTCGACAGCCCGGGAGATAAATAATGCCAACACGCGAGTAGTTCGTTCGAATTGCAGTTCGTGTGTTACTGTTGGTTGTTTATTACAGACAACGCAACCGGAAGCACAGGTTGAGCCGCAAGCCGTTCTCATCATTAAACGTGCACGGCTTGCCTGCTGCGATCCATGTTAATTAAATCAGTTGACGTACACATCGTGCGTCCAACGTAGACCAAGCTTCGCATCCGTTACTACGTACCGCAAGTTAGACGAGCCGAAACTTTGTCACGTTCAGAGATCGGCGATTAATTCGTCCTTTGTCGCGAATAATCGAAATTTCCAACACCTGGAAGTCAATCTCGTTATCCGATTTATTTTTAACTATACGTTATAAATTAACATTTAAATACGGTACTTTAAGTCATTTATATTTGTCTTTGTTGCAAATTAAAAATTTTTTCTCTATTTTGTGTGTGTGTGTGTGTGTGTGTGTGTGTGTATCACTTACGTTACATAATATACAAACTTTTGTACAGAATTTATTTCTATATCTTTGGTATTATTGATATTGATACGACGATATCTGATATATAAAAACGAAACTATGCGTTCTTGTTGCATGCGCAGGTAATGGCAAATAAAAAGTTTTCAGAATTATAAACTCAATGAAGTTTAGTTTACAATTATTACTCGAAATTCTGCATTCACATATAGACCTTTCACTTTATATATTTATGTGATAATATTTATATAACAATAATTTGTCGTACTATCGATAGATAACTACCTTGACGAACAATTTCTTCTTTAAAGAAAAAAAGGAGAGAACAATTTTTTCGATTAAACGAACTTTTAATAATATCCAATCGGATTCAAGTACTTTTCACAGGAACGTTTCATTTCAATCGTAGGGTATTGAAACGTAGTAGAAGAAGCTAGTTAGATACGTATCACGGTAAATCCGTCCCACGGCGTGTAACGTATCGATAATCCTCCATGGTTCAATAATTCAATCGTCCCGAGGAGCGGCCGACACAAATCATTTCCCTTTCCCATCGATCCCCCTCGATAACTCTGTCAATAATAATCACATTCACGCTCCTCTTCTATTCACCTCGAACAATCTCTCCGCTCAGCCTGAAATCGAGGCTCGTAAAACTGTTCAGCGACGAATCAATTAAGCAGGGACAAAGAAAAAGAAGATGAGGATGAGACACGCCTAAGGAAAAATCGAGGACGCTCCTGCGTGTACAAAGAGACAATCGAGTCAAACTGGATTTCTTTTTTCTTTTTTTCGAAAGTT